CTGAGGGGAAATGACTGATTATGACGCGGGGCAGTGAAAGCCGCAAGGAAGCTGTCTTGCTGATGCCGCCTTATCTTTGCATGATAGCCAGCTATTTGTGACGGTATGTTGAGTACACAAGGTGTAGGCGCCTTGACACTGAATGTTTGCTTAGGGCATTAAGGTTTTCAGGTAAGTCCCCCTTCTCTCCCTCTTCTTATTCTTTATTTCATAGGTCCTCATGGTTGTATGGCAGCGGAGCATCAGTTCAAATGGCTGATGTACTGCTGTTGATGATGATGAATATATATATATCTCTGGGTACCAGAAAGCACCGCCAAACCTCAAACACAATATTTACAGTTATAGCTTTAAGTGCTGGGCCTAGCGATTAGGTGGGGCGCAAAATGTAGATATTTGCACAATTGATTCTTGTAACAGGAAGCAATTTCTTTAGCAATCATTAATATCTTCATTTATATTATTGTGCATACATATGTTGTGGTATGAGTGTTTATTGAAACCTTAATTTTGCAGGTAGTAATCGCTCACAAGAGATATTTGACAGAGGCTGCTCTGGTGGATCCACTTCCTGATGTAGCTACACCATGCGAGAGCAGTTCAAATGAAAAACTGAAGAAGGAAGATGATGCTGCCGGTTGTTCAGAGGTTCAAAATAACGCACAGCTTCCAAACAGTGATTTCAGTGACAGTGATGAGCTGTTAACTGAATACGAAAGGAATTGGAATAAGACAACAATATCAAACAGTCAGCCATATTTTACACGAGTAGTGAGCCTAGTCCTACGGCATTTTGTGGGACAAAACACAGCCGCTAAGATTTTTCTCACAGTAATTTCAATGTGAGCGATTGAAAATTTAAGTTTTCCAATAAACTTGCGTATTCAACAAAAGCACAGAAGTAGGAAGCCTGTCCACATCGAAGAAATGTACGCATTCTTCGGGCTTCATTTTCAGTTTGGTTACCATCGCTTACCACAACTAAAACCCTACTGGTCTGGTGATGTGGACATTGTAGTACCAGTTGCCAGGATAACTATGCAGACAGACCAATATTTTGAAATTCTTGCAAACCTGCGTCTGAGTGATAACAATGATGTTCACGAACGTAAGGTGGATAAAGTTTATAAGAGTAGACCTCTCATTCGGGATCAGATGGTTCGATTACCTGATGCAGTGCAGAGTATAGACGAAAGCATGGTTCTCTTCAAAGATCACTAAATAGTAAACAGCATAATCCAATGAAGACAGTAAAACGCGGTTATAAAATATGGTGTTGGGCCGATATGAATGCTTACATTTATGAGTTTGAAGTGCATCAAGGCAAATCACAAGACACTACTAATTCTAGGGACAGATATGGATTGGGGGACAGACTAACCCAAAGTCTAAAAGGAGGTGGTTATGTGATAATGGATAATTATTTCACATCTGTGGAACTATTTGAGCACTAGAAATTTAGTGACATTTTTGTCTGTGGAACTGTCCGTCCCAAAAGGAAACATCTTCCTAAACCTCAAGAGAACAAGGAGATGAAGAGGTGATTTTGAGTATCGTCCCCAAGATCAAGGAATTATATTCTTCAAGTGGAAAGACAACAAGTGTGTCCATCTGTTCTCCAATTACCCTGGCGTAAAGAGCGGAATGGAACAGTGACCGAAGTAGCGGCATCTGAGCTAATACAAGATTACAATTCAGTCATGGGCGAAGTGGACAAAGCAGATATGCTGCATTCAATATATAATTATGATAGTAAATCAAAAAGATGGTGGCACAGACCTTTTCGCAATGATGGAAATGACATGTCAATGCATATGTGATGTATAAGGACATGTATCATGACATCTCACTTCCGGAGTTTCGAAGAAAGTTGGCAATATGGCTTATCGCTATAGGAAGCAGACCAGTGAAAAAAGAGGTCGTCCTTTAATTCATACGATGTCATCACCAAACGAAGCAAAGAGATGAAGGAAAAACCAGTATTATGTGGCTAAAGACATCAGGACATAGAATATTGGCGCTCACTGACCTGCGGTTGTTTCAGAAAGGGGAAGATGTGAAGTGTGTTATATTCAAAAAACTCAATCTAGACCACAATCAAAATGTTCTTTTTGTGATATTTATTGTGGTGCAACGACAAACAGATCTGCTTTCAGTAATGTACCTTCATGGTGACAATCTTGATGACCTACGTTCCTGACGGTACTTACAAGTACCACCATAAAATTAAACATGAGAAGATTTACAAAAAGCAATTTCTTTTTATGTTTATTACCAACAGAAATCTACCTTATGACCTAAAAATACAATGAAAAAGATATAGGTAAATTAATTCAGGGTTTAACTAGACAGTTTTATTGTCGACGTGCCTCGTTAGCACTAGTTGATGATTGTGTTATGTTCGGTGAGCGCGCAGTTGTTCCGAAGTCCCTGCTGACAACGGTAGTAGGATATTTGCATTTACATCACCCGAGAATATCAAGGATGAAAGTTCTAAACAGAAATTACCTATATTGGCCTTCTATTGACAACGCTATCCATGAATGTGTCGCCACATGTAGCAACTGTGCATAAGCATCGAAAATTCCAAGCAAAATCATCCAACCCTGGCAGAGAATTCACGTTGATTTCGCTAGTCGAGTGCAAGGCCAGTGTTTTTTAATTGTGGTTAATGAGTATACCAGTGACCAGAAGTACACCTGATGAAAACAACCACGACAGCAGCCACAGTACGAAAACTACAAGTTATATGTACAGTTCGGTTCACCAAACACCTCGGATTCCGATAACGGTTCGATAAATTTGGCGCTTTCTGTTAGCATAATGGTACCAAGCACTGCCGGTTGCTTCCGGGACATCCGCAGTCCAACGGGCAAGCAAAAAGATTAATAGATACCTTCAAATGCTCAATACTAAAACTGCGATAGGAATGACCAACAGAGGAGCTCATACAGCTGTTCCTGTTAACTTATCGGGTCACGCTTAACCAAGCTGTACCAGGCGGAAGAACCCCAGCGGAAGTCATGTTCGGGCGTGAGATACAATGCTATAGGCCCTAAAGCTATGCAACGGTCACTGGCATTTTCTACCGGGGGAGACGGTGTACGCGCTGGATACAAGACTGAACCACTAAACCTGGCAATCTGCAGTTGTGCGGTAAGGCACTGTGCTGTACGAGGCGTCTATCGGACCGTTGTTTCTCGTTCGACAAGTTAATCGGTTATGCAAACCATGGATCGAACAAACAATCTCTACTATTTTCGAGTTGCCGTTCGATGTACCGCTGGATACATTTAAACCACCAAAAACTGTGGAGCTCAGGAAGCCGACGGAAACGCCCATAGAAAATGTCACGAAGTCGCTCAGAGACCTATGCGGACAACTAAACTGATCCGAAGTTTACTGGTGAATCCAACAATTCATTCGTATGAGTCTGGAGAACGCGTTTTGGAAGGGGAAGATGTTACGTCAGGCGATCCGGTGCCTTAAAAGTACAACGTCGTCCCACACGCCTGACTGTGAAGTTCACTCCCACCCACTGCTCTGCTGTGGTTCATATGCATCCGGCCCCCGATATTGTCGGCTGTCTTGCCTGTTTCATGTGACTTAAGCTCTGATCAAGACACTGTCCGGTGCGGTGAAAGTCTGTTCTGAAGGCTCTACGCCTCATTAACCGCGATTACAACTGATACTGGACGATGGCAGCAGCACATCTGTAATGTTGAATTTTGCCTTAATGTCCAACAGGATACCAACCACCGAACTGTACAACAGTTGGTTGAGTGCGTCGCCGGTGTCCTAGTGGTCTGCGCGCCTGGCCTGCAATTATAAGGTCACCGGTTCGAATCCACGTAGTGGTGGGCGTCCTCGCGATATCCTCAGCCCATGTGCGACCGGTGGTGGTCGCGCGGCAGCGAAGCGCCATTATGGCGTACAGCTGACACATTTCATAAAATTTTTGGTGAGTATTCCACATGTCTGTGTAACGATCGCCTCACTGTGCACTCTGCGCAAGCTGAAGTTGGCTAGCAAATAATGTAAGCCAAACGAAAAAACAATTTGAGCCTAAAGCATGCAGGCGCTAATTACACATTTGGCTGTAATAACGCGCTCTTGACACAGAAGTATAGAGCCTAAGCAGCACGAGGATGCATATTTGGAGACACTGACGTGAACCGTTCATAACTAATGGCAACAGAACTAATTTAAGTTCAGGGTAGTTCAGCCTTATGTGGATTCCAGACAACGCGAAAAAGATGCTCCTGCCGAAAGAGCGAGTTGCGGATATTAAATCCGCTACAGTGGGTGTGGTTGGGCAGACTGAAGGCCATTTGCAGGGTGATAAGCATCGGCAAGTAAACGGCTTCCAGTGCGTCAGCTGGATTCAGACAAGTAGTCCATTTGACCGTGAGCATCACGGACGACAGCAACACTTATACTTTGGCCGTAGAAAAAAGGAAGAAAGTAGTTGGTCTTCGATCGTCGTTGTAGTGGGGAAACACAGATTATGAATTCGCATAAAGCCTCAAAGCCAAAATGCACACATGCGCAGATCAAACCCACTTGAAAAAGCCGCCTTTGACCCTCCTATGTGAGAAATAGACAAGCTAGACATATCTAGCAAAGAATACAGGGGTCACCACTAAAAGCAGCTTGATAATCGAAGGTCTGTCTTGACGAGGTAGTTTTGTAAGTGCGTCTGAGAAGCTGCACACTTAGCCAACTAGACATACACTGTAGGCAATGAAAGAATCGATACATCTTTGGTAACATGTGGTTCGAAGAGGTGACCAGTTTTAATGGTCGAACTAAGAGCAAAGAAAGTTAAAAGAAAAAACGCCGTTAACGGAGTTCTGTGAGTGAGCGAATCGACACAGTAGTTAATCAGAAAACCGATAACTAAGAGGTTGATTAAACGCGAAAGTCAATGCAAGGCAAAATACCAAGTCCATAGTGAAAGAGACAAAAATAGGAATGTAAATAGATAAAAAAACACTCACTGAATAAGGAAATAACTGGATGGCTTCCATTTTGAATCGGGGTATGGATTGTATGGGTTCATCATCTGCCAAAAACTCCAATTCAGAAGGATTCATTTCGTTTCAAATGAGAGCAGGGAGGATAAGACTAAAGAAAAAGCACGAAGAAGTTGGTTGCATGCGCATGACTTAGGACGATCGGTAGCCAAAATAAATCTTTCAGCTGATGCCTTAGTAAGATACTGAGCATATCGGAATGTGGCATTAATCGAGTACGCGCGAATGGGTGCGTGATAGCGAGCAACCGATCAGAAGTATTCCAATGAGCGCCAGTTTTGAGAAAACAGTAGCAATTATACAGTGTAGGATTTTGCTCAGATGGTCAATAATGATTCGTGTACCAAAGTGCAACGGACTAAGTGGCATAAGCTCACGTCGTCAAAATAATAACATTACTACTTATGAGTGGAAGGATTTTGGTGAGTATTTTTGTTCGTCGCAATCAGCCGACAATTCAGATAAGTCAACTAGCTATCCGGAAAAGGAAATGGAGAAGTAGGTATAAAACTGAAAATCAAAAACCAGGGGCACGTATAAGAACGTCACTGACTTCGGGACTGCGTCTTATCGGATGAGACAGACACCAAACAAAAATATCCACTCGGTTATTTTCTCTATGATATTTTGACCCGTCTCTTCCAGTGCAGTGCAAGAAACATGTGGTTGCGAGTCAATAGCTCTAAGGGGGAATGAGCTGCTTTAGCAGACGATATATGGATCCTACCTAATTAGACCCAATATTGGCGAACAATATAAGTCCCAATATAAGTCTCAATTTTAACACTGGCGCACCTGGATAAGCCAGATCCACTTCTCAAGACAGAATTCGTAATAACAATAACCACAAGGTGAATAAGGGTAGAAATCGTGATAGGATGGTCAAAAGTCTGAAATGTGGGAACGATTGCATAGCAAACGATACACTCCGAGTCGAACAACTTCCAAACACGCAAAACACATGACTGACAAGTGAAGGAAATTCGAGTTTAACAGGCATTCCAAGGAGAAACCAGCGGATCTGTTCTTAAACACCAAAACGGAGAGTTTCAGTATTAATCACAAGATGCTCCCAAAATATTTGACCAGTCGGATGCAATGGTTCATTGCAGCGAGACTGGGCCTTAACTTGGTGCGACGGTTTGCGTACCTTTTCAACCCATTGATCCATACCTGGTTGGGCCCTCGGGTCCCATGAGAGCTACTCCTACCAGTTTGATCAATGGTTAGAGGTCAAACTCAATCCCCCCGGTCCACCAAAATGGGGGTTTAAAATAGGATGGCGTCCATTTATGTAAAACCGAATCGTTGCCACCTCCCCACTGCCTTACGGATAGGCTTTGAGCCAAAGGATTATAGTCGTTTTCCCCTCTCTAGGTCTGGGCGTCTTGGCAGTATCTCAACCCGCGTACAACCATGACTATTTCTTCAAACTTCAAGCACATCACGCATTGGCCGTTAGACATCTTGGCAAGCCGCCTTATCTGCTACATACAACAGGACGGATAAGCAAAATTATGCTACTGCTAGCGCCTCCCATCTTTCCTTTCCGCCTGTTTCTCCAACTCCACACTCGACCACCATTACTAGGCTTTCTTTAATAATTAGTTTAACTGACAGCAGCTGCAACGCTGCTGCAGTTCTACTATTTGCAGCTATCTTACCGCACCAATCACTGGATGCTAATTCCCAGTACCTCCTTATAAGACCACGCTGTCCCGTTTTTCTGGCGGAGTTCAACGTTCGCACTCTACGACAAATAGGTCAGCAAGCTGCGCTCGCGCGCATGTTGGACACGCCGGGTATCGACTTGCTCTGCGCGTTCGAAGCCAGGATCAATGAACCTAACTGGGTTATAGAAAAAGCTGAACCTGGCTTGCCCACTCGTTATTGGCTGCACGCATCCGGAGACGCTGAAAAGGCAATCGCTAGTCAAGCTGTGGCGGGGATTGTACTCAGCTCCAAAACTGAGGCATCGTTGCCTGTTTGGATTCTTATGAGCAAGCGTATGTGCGCAGCTCGTTTGACTACATCATGCACATGCATAAAATGGCACTAGACGTTGTTTGTTTGTGGTATACGCTTATGTCCTCATAGAATGCAGTTGTGATGACGTCGATGACGCCTCCGACCACAAAATGAACAGGCTACGACGCATCGTTACTAGTTCACATATCACAGTTCCTACAAGGGATATGAATTCACAAGTAGGTCGTCTGAGCTCTTCAAAAGCTTCACAAGGTGGTAAGTATAGACTTAACTCTGATATATATGGTTGGCGGCATCCGGTTTCGGATTTGCCTGTCACTGTGGCCAGCCACAGGACGCCTGTGCCTACTGAGGGACCGTGAGTGGCTTGCGCTGCACCACCCACAGCTCCATCAACACACCCCATATGAAGTGTAAATCCGAAGGAATAAAACCGGGAGGCATGTGGATGGGAGCCACGTTTCATCAACGGAGCCTGCCCACACTACTTCACAGGCAAACACAAACACGCAGTATTTGGGAACCAAGCGCACATGGAATGGCTCTTCGAGCATAGCACGGCCACAAAGACCGTGCACCCCGTCTCCTCCAGCAACGATCAACTGTCTCCTAGAGCCAGATGGACGATGTAGTGGGTAATAGACAGGTACGCAACTTGTCAACATGCACATCAAGCGCACCCACACCTGGGATATCAAACAACAGTCAATCACTTGAGAGAAAGATGACAAGGAAAATAAATCGAGTAATGCATAAGGAAGCAGTGAGATAAATCTTAAATTAACGAGCATATGGAATAACTTGTTTACAAAAGAATCCGAGATAAGTTCACGAGGTGATGCCACAAACACGAAAATGTTATCGAGATTAACTACAGTTTAATTAAGCGACGTGTGCAAGTTCATAGAAGAGAGTACAGGTAGACATTTATAAGAGAAAGAAAAACATTAGAACAAAAATGAAAACCCACCACCTGAAATAAATAGACTTTGCATGCAAGCAAGCGGTTAGTAAATCGAATGCAGCGCGCCTACAAACGCTGCGCCGGTTATGCCTACGTTCTCTGCAAGACCCGTCGTCGCTTCGGTAGTGGTCCCGAGTGGCCTCGCTCATGGCTCACTAAGCCTGCCTGACTCAGGCACTCGCGACCGCATGTGCTACAGTACCATGCGCTTGATGTCGATGGAGTACAACCCATCGGTGCTTGCCGATCCCGCACATGCCGCTTCTTCTCTGCATGTATGAGGTCTTTTTCCCGCACTTCGGTAACTGTCTACGTGATTAGACCGCGCCATGCACGCCGATCATTCGCCTTCGATTCCCATGACCAGCAATCAAAATTAGAACGGAACAGGCTCACTTTGATCATGTCCTGGTAACATCTGTTTGGTTTCCCCACATGCCGCTTCCAAATACTCAGCTGACCACATAATAGTCGTTTCGCTATCCGCGTTGAATCCACACGGCTCACATGACCAAGTCACCGCAGATGTCTCAGCAAAAGTATGCAGTCCACTGCATACATTCACTTTGGCGTAACACTTCCGTGTCAGCAACTCTGTCCCCCCAACCGATGCACAAAATCCGTCGCAAACACTGCTGATGGAACCGCTCGAGGTATCGCACATCCCACCGGACATCATCCGTTTCACTGCCATATAGAAGAACGGACAGCACCATGGATTTGTACACCATCAGTTTGGTGATGGTCAGCCGATGGTTGTTCCACACTCGGTACTCATCCTTCCCGAATGCCGCCGCTGCCTTCGACACGCGGATACGAAGCTCACTGCTGATCAGTCGATACCACAATTACAAGGTAGCAGAAGCGGGAGGTGCTTTCCAATACCTCAGCACCAATGCTGATTCGCGGCAATACTGAAGTCTGCACCTCCGGTGAAGTCTGAAAGTGACAGACAGTTTTGCTTGTGTTGATGGTGAGGCCGAATTTGGCCGCTGTTGAAGCCAGAGCACTAGTCATGTGCTGCAACTCATCCGCGCTGTGTGCAAGCAATGCACAGTCGCCAGCAAACAGCAACATACGGATAGTTGTCTCACAGACTATGGTTCTCGCACCGAAACGACGGATGCTCAGCAACCCACCATCAATACGGTGCTCCATACGGACGCCGTAAGCACAAGCCGCATCAAAAGCACAAGGCATCATTGCATGAAGATATATATTAAACAGGGCAGGAGCTAAGACACAGCCTTGCTTCACACCAGAGACAACTGCAAAGTCATCCGAGGTCTCTCCACTCAGCTGCACCCTCGCTCGCATACCACTGTGCAGACAATCAATTAAACTTACAAACTTACGCGGGCAACCAAACTTACCCAACACCAACCACAATGCCTGGCGGTTCACTGCATCAAATGCCTTGGTGAAATCAACAAAAAGCGAGTACAATCGCTGGTGTCGTTCTCTGCACTTCTCCTGCAACTGACGAGCCGCAAAGACCATATCTCTAGTGTTGCGACCCGAACGTAATCCACATTGCTCTTCCGCCACGTTAGGTTTCCACAACCTGACTGACGAAGCGGTTGAGCCGGGATTCGGGCAGTCACTATGTCCACACAATGCAGCAAGTTGATGCCACGATAATTCGTGCAACATTGCTTGCTTCCTTTGCCCTTGTACAGTGGTAGCACACGCGCATCCCTCAGCACAGGGGCACCTCCTCCTCAATCCATACACGTTGCACCAAGTGGTGCAGCGCAGTCAACAACGCGGCACCAGCACACTTGCCATTTCGCAGCTGATCAAGTGCTCACTGCGTCTCATCCAGTGTCGTCGTGTCCACCAGACTCGTCTTCACATCGTGCTGCCTGAGGCCGTTCAGTGTACGCCAGTCGATATCTGAACGGTTGTTCAAGAGACAGTCAAAGTGTTTCCGCCAGATGTGCATTATCTCTGCAGTCTGTGTGCAGGTAGCGCATGAATTACCATCGATCAGCGTCCTCAGTGGCTCCAATCTCGGTCCATACTCCGCCTTCAAGGAGTCAAAGAACTCCTTGTGTTGGCGGCGTTCGGCATAGCATTCCATCTGATTCGCCTTCTCCGTCCACCATGCATTTTTAATGCGACGGAGCTCTTGGGTCAGTCGCCGTCGAATTCTGCGAAACTCCCTCCACTTCCCCAAGTCACTGGGGTCTGCGACATGTGCAGCAAATGCTGCATTCTTCTCACACACCAATGCGCCGATCGTCGCATTGTTCACATCAAACCAATTAAGCCGCTTACATTTTGCACGCCCGATGGTCTCATTGGCAGCAGCTGTCATCTGGTCGCGAATGTGGTGCCACAGGTCGCCCGCTGTGGTTATGCAGTCCACATCACACAGGCTTGCAGCCATCGCCTTCTCCAGCCCAGTACGTTTCGCCACAGTCCCGAGGGAGAGGGTGTTAAATTTACGCCGATCCACGGCGGGAGTGCAACACATAGATTTACTTTGTTCGTCGAAATCAGCCGACAATTCAGATATGTCGACCAGCTGTACTTATGAATGTACAGTTTGGTCCGTACCAATTTGTGATCAGTGCCACGCTCAGCTCCACGCAGCCCACGTGTCATGCGCACTTCACACTTATCACGCTGACGTACGATGACATAGTGGAGCGGGTGAGCGTGACCATTCCGTGGGTGCGTCCAAGTTACTATATCACTCGCACTCAGTGTGAACCGAGTGCTCGTGATGGTCAGACCGTGAGTGGCCCACAGTGAGAGCAGCCTGTCACCGTTCGCATTCGCTGAACCAATGCCATGCCGACCGGTAACATCTGTCCACACCGATGCATCACGCCCAACCCGCGCATTAAAAGCACCCAGCAGAAATAGTCGGTCACGCCTCGGCACAGACCGTATCACGGAGGATATTTGAGTATAGAATTGATCACGCGTCTCATCAGGATAACACCTGGTCGGACCGTACGTGCTTATAAAAGTGGCATACTTACATCTTCCGAATCGTAGGCGAACAGTCATCAGTCGCGCGTTGATGCCTGTTGGTTCACCCACCAGCTGGCCATGAAGACGATCGGATATTGCAAATCCGGTCCCATGTTCACGTGGTGCTGAGTTGGCGTTTCCCACCCAGTAGAACGTATAGCCGGCGCCAACTTCATGCAACTTACCTTGCTCAGCGAGCCGAGTTTCACTGAGCGACGCAATATCGATGTGGTAACGCGCCAGCTCCATGGTGACCAGTGCAGTGCGTCGCTCGGAGCGCGCACTGGAATTCCGGTCCAGTAGTGTGCACACGTTCCAGCACCCGATGCTCAGTGCTTCGCGCGCAAGCATACGATTGCACTGGTGGGCAATCGCACGCGAGGTGGTCATTGTGCTTCGGAGGTTTGCTTGAAGGAATCCACCCGGAGCCTTTGGCTCAAGAGCCTGACCCACAAGGCAGTGGGTGATTTGGAGGTTTGCTTGAGGGACTCCGCCCGGAACCTTTGGCTCAATAGCCTTACCCACAAGGCAGTGGGTGATTTGGAGGTTTGCTTGAGGGACTCCGCCCGGAACCTTTGGCTCAATAACCCGACGCAGAAGGCAGTGGGACGCAGAGCCAGCTCGGGAATGTGACTGCAGAGACAGATTGGGATCTGCTTGACGGCCGTCACACGCAGTCTTTAAGGTACTGGAACGACTTATATATGTTTCGCGACCGTAGAAGGATACGCACCTGCGACCACGGCCAGACGCAGACGGAGGTGCCCTCCCACCATCAGAGACAATGCGTGGCGCTCGTGCTCTACGCCAATCGAGCTGTGAGCTTATAACCCGTAGACCTGTTGTCTCCCATGGCTAGGTTTTACGGGAAGAGGGCCATGGACCACTTCCTAACCTCCGAAGAGGATGGACTAGGATACTGGCAGGGCGCCCACACCTGACAGGAGAACGACTCGGATCCTCAGCCAAAGCCTTCGATTGAATGTACACCCGTAAGGCAGCGAGTCTAGCACATGGTCAATTCATGATTACGTTTTTTTTTTTATTTATTAAGTATTTTCTACTTTTCTCCCACCCCACTCCAGACCCTCTTAATCTCTTATTCTACCTTCTCACCAATATCTACTTCTAAATCCTCACCAATTCATATCCCACATTGACTTCCACTTACATCAACTCTCTAACACAAACACACAGCAAACAAACAAATCACTCTCTACAAACAACTAAACAAAACCATCATATCTTATCATAATCAAAATCACAAAACCCTCATAAATTTCTCCACCCACTCCCCAACACTTTAAAACTATACCCCCCACCATTAATACAAACAACAAACACCAATCTAATACTACAAAATAACAATTACAAACCACTAAACCACCACCCCACCCACAACCCACAAAATTTCAACTATACCCCCACAACACTTACCAAAGTTCTCCTTCTAAATCTACAATAATCAAAATTCAACGAAACAAAAAATATAAACCTATCATTTATAATATCACATTATATTCATTATATTCATAATCCTTATACATAATCAACCAACCAAAACATTAAATATCTCTTAATTATAAATATTCTAATATCTTTTATAAATAAAACACCCCCCCCCCCACACACACAAACACCACACAAAACCCCCTAAAAAACACCAAAAGAGACACACACAAACACACAAAAAAAACCCAACCCCCTAACACAAAAAAAACACCCCCCCATAAAAAAAAATAATTTATATTATATAATAAAACCCAATTTATAACCCCCCCCCCACCCCCCTTTTTTTTATATATATATATTGGCGTGGTAGGCTCGAAGAGCGGTTCCATGCACTCAGTGTGGAGCGGACTACGGTCCAGCCACCGCCTTGTGTGCGCTTCATTCCCCAAATACAGCGTGCTTGTGTTCGCCTGTGAAGGAGTGTGGGCCGGCTCCGTTGATGAAACGTGGCTCCCATCCGCATGCCTCCCGGTCTTATTCCTTCGGGTTTACACTGGATATGGGGTGTGTGGTTGGAGCTGTGGGTGGTGCAGCGCAAGCCACCCATGGTCCCTCAGTAGGCGCAGGCGTCCTGTGGCTGGCCACAGTGACAGGCAAATCCGAAACCGGATGCCGCAAACCATATATATTGCAATCTGATTACAGGTAATGTGCCATCAGAACCATGGCGAGATAAAGGGGGAAGGGAAATACAACATCAAGAAAACAAGCGTTCCGGTTTTACACACGCTGTTTTAGTGATTTTTTGTGCGTTCTGAAGTGTTAGGTTCGATGAGACATCATTAACTAATAGATAACACAGTTGAACAACACTGTCTTCACTGAAGCAGGTTGGGTACGATAGCCTCCAACGTTTCGAACTACTGGCAGTCGGATTCGTGTCGTCCCTATCCTGGAAGGCGGACCCGTCCAACGGATGCTAGGCTTGAGGTTGCATTTTCCATACTCCTTCAAGTCAGTGGTTGTCCACCGCGGCCCTTTTGCCAGTTGCTTCCGAGAGAGAAAATAAAGCTCGATAGGAAGCGATAGGCCGGCCCGTGCAGATACGTGGTCGAGCCAACCGCATGCGTGGTCGGGGAAAAACTGTTTGGAGGATGCGCTGTTTGGTCCATACACGTGGTCTCGGAATTCTGCGATGACTCACCTGGAATCCGACGCAGAAATCTCGTTGTGCGGTCCGAGTAATAAGGACAACCGTTCTTATGTCTTCCAAGCGAGTTAGACAGATTCTCGAGACGTACGAGAGGATCGTACGGACAGAGGCAACGTATCTCATTTCAACAGCAGTACATCAGCCATTTGAACTGATGCTTCGCTGCCATACAACCATGAGGACCTATGAAATAAAGAATAAGAAGAGGGAGAGAAGGGGGACTTACCTGAAAACCTTAATGCCCTAAGCAAACATTCAGGGTCAAGGCGCCTACACCTTGTGTAGACAACATACCGTCACAAACAGCTGGCTATCGTGCAAAGATAAGGCGGCATCGGCGAGACAGCTTCCTTGCGGCTTTCACTGCCACGCGTCATAATCAGCCATTACCCC